TAGGAATCAGGTGGGAAAGTACACACCTTTAATCCTGGCACTACACAGTTGAGTTCCAGGCCAGCTGGGTCTACAGGGAGGCCCTGTCTCAAAGGCAAAAAAGGGAAAAAAAGAAAATAGTAAGTTGGATCCACATATAACATAGGTAAAAACATTGTTGAGTGAAAATAAATCTAAAATGGTACATAGTATGATATTTTCATGTGCAGGTAAAACACACAAGGCAATACTTGATTCGTTTTAATTACGTATGTACTAGAACAGAGGTAACTTGTGAAAAGAAGTGGGATGCAAGAGATTTTATTTCAATAAACAAACTACAAAGGAAACACATCACAAAATAGTAAAATTTCTTAAATCTCAGTAAATACTTGCTGCTCAGTAATTATGAAACATTTCTTAACTTAAAACTTTTAAAGACTATAATAGCTGTATACTTCAAGGCCACTGGTTTCTTTAAAGCATACTACTTCCCTTTCAGTAAAATACAGTTTCAAGATTACCTGGATTTTATAAAATGCTGTCTGGAAAAACAATTTGTCAGGAATAAGAACAGGTTGGCCATATTCCAATCAGATGAGGGATGGGGGATACAGGTTACTCAGCAGCTGAGTTTGACCTGCAGTCCTAACAAGATAGGTGTGTCTTAGTATGAATATCCCTTGCTCAAAGAACATGCAGGATGATTCAATTTGAATAGTTGAAATCTATTCGACTAAACCAAATTTACTGCACCCAATAATTGAGATAATTGGTTTTGGAGATAATGCCCCTATGCCAGGTACTGCTTGGGGACAAAGACAAATGAGAACCTGTCTCTACATTCAATTTAGAAGAAAAAATACAAAGATACAGTTAAAGTATGATAGATTAAATACTAAATTTAAAATGTCCACATTGTTCTATGGAACAAATAACCCTGGAAAACTGATTGGTGCCATTAACAGAAAGAGACTAAGAAGCAGGAGGTGTTTTAGGAGGTCTGGGTTTAAAAGATCGTTTTCTATAAATAGTACTGGGCATCTATGTGCTGGATAAACTTGGTTTCGGCTATGTTAAGACAGGTTAGACACACCAGTAAATACACTCAACAAGCAACTCCAAGTACTGGATGAGAACCTACAGAAGATTCCAGAGAGAAGAGGCTAGGGGATTAACCTTGAGGTGAAATCCCACCATAGGAGTAAGAAAAGAGAAACAGAACACACACTTTTATGTGGCACATTCATTAACATGTAGAAGTTTCTTACCTTGGTAATTACTGGATTTAGAGTAAGTGACGTGAAAAATACAAGGTAAAGCAAAGAGATAACAGGTGAGGTTTCTGTAAAATAAGCCAGCCCACGAATATTGCTAAGGCAAGGGAAAGGCACTGGCGGAGTTGCAGGGCAATGATGCAAGAGGCAGCATCACAGACAGCTCCATCCCATAGGAGGCAGGCCAGGGCATGGGCAGGCAGCAAGTCTAGTGGCCAAAGGCAGGCAAAGAAGGAGGGAGGGAAATTCAAGTGCTAACCAGATAGCTGGTTAACCTTTTCAGTTACTGAAAAATGAGCGAATCTGAGCCAGCATTCAGGAGGCTGAAGCAGGAGGATCATCAGCACATTGAGGCTAGCCAGCTACTTTAATGAGACCCCGTGTCTCACAGCAAAGAAACAAGCAAAGCAAAACAAAACTAAAAAAGTAATCTTTACTGAGGGTGAAAGATTTCAGGAGCTATTCAAGGAGTTAATTTTTTAAAACCTGAACTGTCAGTGTACATAACCATAACCAACACATTATCAGTGACAACACAAATCTAAACACGGTTAGAGATTAAGCAATGTAGGGGAAAGGGTTTTTTAAAGCATTTATGAACATGGTTTTTGAAAAAAAGAAATTGCCATCTACCTGAGAAGTGCATACACATCAAAAACTAGCACAGCATTTATCTGAGACGGATGTTAATCAAGTGTTCCACCAATCAGTTTCCCAAACTATAAAGGTCTGCCCTTTCAGGCAAAAGAATTGAATTTTGTATTTAACCATTTCTGATGGGAACTAACACTACCAATCTTCCTAATTATAGAACTTGAATCAAATTTAATCTGAATCTTCAAATCTTGAACATCCACTGTTGCTGGACTGTCTAGCTGGCCTGGAACATGCTGATATACCAGGCCAGTCTCAAACTCACAGATTCGCCTGCCTCTGCCTGCCAATTGCTGGGATTAAAGGTGCACACCGCCATACCGTTTCGTTATTGACCATCTCAAACTCGTATATTATGCATTCTGACTGCTCTCACCCACTCACCCCACCCCTGCCCACCCAAGAACTGCTTCTTAAAAGCTTTTTTGTTTAAGAGGGTTTTTTTTTTTCATTTTTGAGGGGAAAAGAGCTTTTTTTTAATTTTTAAACTTATTTTTTTAATTTGTTTGTCTTTTTGAGATAGGGTTTCTCTGTAGCCCCAACTGGTCTGGAACTCACTATGTAGAACAGGCTGGCCTTGATCTCACAGAGATCTGCCTGCCTCTGCCTCCCAACTGCTGGAATTAAAGGTGGGCACTACAACACCCAGCTTTTAAAAAGAGCTTTAATAAGAGTTTACCATGGCCTCTACAGCAAACTCTCACAGTCCCTCCACTCATCTCACGGAATACTACAGACCTGTTGCTGTCCAGAAAAGTGAAAAACTCAAAGTGAAGTCCTATGTAATCCATAGGTTTGTATCATAAAATTCTAAACACATTACCCACATGTGCATCTAGATAAGTCAATATTAATCAAATAATGCAGAAAGGCTTGGCTTAGCAAATAACCTTAGGTAGCCTCTCAAACAAAATGGTGGTTAATCTCACCAGGGGGAAAAACAGATTGCAAAGGGCAACTAAAGGCCACTTTAAAAAAAAAAAAAAATCATTCCTCCAATCTACTTTTCAAAACCGACTTCTTAAAAGATTACCATGGGAACACTATTGTAGGTTCATTTTTCATCTAGCCCACAGCACCAGTCCTTTAATTTCCAACAATGGTAAATGAAATTATAGAAAATCGTTCTCTGTTTACTATGGAAATAATTAACAACTCTGGGCAAAACGTTATTTGAGGCGAGTGGTACCGAGGGAAAAAAAGGAGCAGCTAGCTGTCTGATGAAAATGGATCACTGAAAATGTAATAAAATCCTACTTCTGAACTCCGTGATCGTCATCACAGTGAAACACTACTCATCTAATTCTCTCAATCTCGTCCTAGTCCAATGGAACTGAGGACCATCAAGCACAGCTCATCATCCTGTTAGTCTGAGGGTTCCCTCTTGCCTCCCCGACCTGGCAGGCTGCAAGCTACCTTTCCAGGCCTACCTACTCCCCTACCTGCGCTATCCACTTTAGCCAAACAGTAGGACTTGCTGTTTTCTGAAGAAACTTCACCCTTGAAATGCCCTCTGCCTACCCTCGCCACCACCTAACGACGTCCTGCCTTTGGAAGCGCAAAATGCCACCTATTATTTCAGGAACTGTTTCCTGACGCTGCTTCCCAGGGACCCTGAGCCTTCCCTGAAACCCCAGGAATGGGATGTGGCTTTCCTGTGGCACTTGGATTTCAACCTTCTCTCATCTACCTTTGAATAAACTGCATCCATCGTGCAGCACCTAGCACGATGCATCGCAGCATTGGACTTCGAGTTTAACAGAAAAGTTGCACAGTGTGCAGTAAAAAGTACTTTGGGGTGAAACTGCACTTTAAATCTTCACAGATAATCGAAATACCACGACAGGTGAACGTACCCTAAAGCACTACAGAATGTTCTGCACTAAGAAAATAACTTCCTGCCCTTTTCTTTTTCTGAGAAAAAGGAAAACACACAACCATCACTAAAACGTTAAACGCAGCCTTCAAGAAACTTGTTTCCATATAAAACGAATACAAAAGACTCCGTCCCACTTCTATTCTTCCGCTTTCGTGCAGCGCCTTTTTTTTCCCTATTGGTCAAAAGAGTGGTGAGAACTTTCCCATCAATTTTTCTTTCTTTCTTCACTGACTCGTGAAAAGCAGTGATTGGTGGAGAACATCCGCATCGAGGTCACCCTAACGGCCATGTCTGACTTTCTCTGAGCGAAAATAAAACTTCCTGGGATCCCACCGCTGCCACCCATCCCGATCACCAAGAGATGGCTACAAGCCACAGGGCAAAGGTCGGAGCCCCGGGGGAATACCGATGAGGTGGCTCCGGCGCCCAGACGGCCGCGATGGCCGCCGGCGGCAGCTAAGCTGAAATGCAGCGGAAACAGCAGCCAGTCACGGGGCTGAGGGAGGCAGGGCAAGAAGGTGGCGCTGCCGCCGAGCGCCTGGAATTCAAGCGCTCATCATGGCGGCGAGGGCAATGGCCGCCAAGGGAAGCGAACACGCCCCTCCGCGCACACACGACGCCGCGCCGGGGCTCCGGTGCCCGTCACCGTCGGCGCCGTCGCCGCTGCCCGCTCTCCCACCCCCCCTCACGGGCTGTAGCGGAATTTTCTCCTCAGACGCCGCCTTCAAAATGGCGGCTCCCCCTCCCGGCAACCCTCCCAGTCGTCCCCTGAAGCAGGCGCCGAGCCGTCGCCATCTTGTCCCCCGTCCCTCCTCCCCCCCCCCGACGATATTTACATAGCGAAAATCGGCCCGGCCGGCCTGCGGCCTTCACCTCATGCCTGCAGCCTTCGCCTCCTCGCCAGGCCTCGCCCCCGCACGGTTCCCGGGGTCGGCTGTCTCGCCCACCCGGGACCCCTCAACCGCCTCCCCCGAACGCCCGCAAACACTGCTCCGGCCCCCGCCCGCTTACGGAGTGCGCTTCAACCGCCGTTCCAAACACCCGGGCGCCTCCCCAGGCCTAACTGCGGCCTCCTTTAGGGCCTGCTCGGCGTCGCGCGCCACGCCGCCCGGCCTAGCGCGGGAGGGCGCCTTGCGGGCCGCCGACGAGGCCGGGACCAGGCCGCCGCGCGCGCACTAGGCCCTACGGCCGCGGCGGCACCCAGGACTCACCGGACAGACGTGCGGCGGTCGGCGACGGTGGCGGGTGCTGCAGGCCGGCCTTTCTCTGGAGCACTGGGCCGGGCTCCGGCTGGTGGGGCGGGCGGAGGGAGGGAGGAGGGGCCGAGCTCGGAGCTGACAAAAAGCGGCCCAGCTCCCCGGCACGGGCCCGCCGTCAGCACGTCACGTCACCGCCGGGGAAAGAGACCCAGGAAAATGCGGAAGGATAGATGGGCCCCCTCCTCCGCCCGGTGGGTCCTTCTGACGCCCCCGGTTGGAGCCGTTCACGCCCCGCTACCGGGGTGCCCAGTGGCCTCGCTGCAGCGGGGTCTCCGGCGGCCTGCGTTTCCGTGATAGCGCCCCCCTTCTTTCCACCTCCTTCGTGCTCCCGCCCGCCACCGCCGCCACACACACGCCGCTGCTGCTGCCGCCGCCTCGGCCGTAAAGCCCGCGCGAGGCCGCGGTCCGCCGACCCCGTGGAGAGGCGGACGGCCGGGGCGGCCCCCCACCATGTTTGTGGGCCGCAGCCACCCCCCGGGGGCCTCCTGGGAGACCTACCGCCTCTTCACGCGGGTCCTGGCCTGAGGCGGCGGCTCGAGTTATTTGCAGGCCCTCAGACCCCCGCCCTCAGTAAATGTGTTTTTTTTCATCCCGGTGCTGGGGAAGAAGATAAATTTAGCAACCCCCGCCATCCCCTGCCTTCCCCTTAAAAAAAAAAAAAAAAACATAAAATGAAAATGGGTTTGCCAGTTTTGCCTATGCAGGCAAGGGGGGAGGGTTGCCCTCGAACAACTACCAGACCCCTTATTTTTTAAAAAATAAATAAGCTTTTAGTCAGAAAGTTAAATTGGTGGGGGGGTTTTGGGGGTGGGGAGGGTGTTACATTTTGAAGCTTTTCACACACTGCTGTGAGCACGAAGGTATAATGGACTTTTCTACATACATGTGTCAGAGTTTGGGAGAAGCGTATGAATTGTAACTTTTGTGTATGTTTCAGAAATCATTTTCCACATTGTTTCTAGAAAATAGAAGAGGATGGGATTTTTTTTTTTAAATGTTGAAAGCAGACTTTTTACAGTTTAAAAAGAGGAAATATCTGATTCAACAAAGTATAAACTTCAAAAATACAGATTTTGTGTTTTCCTCAGTTCAAATTACTTTGGGACTAAAACTGTATTTTTTTTAAATAGCAGGGGAAAGTTTTTACATTAATCTAGACTCTTAACATGCTTCTATAGAACTCTTGGGAGGGCGGGGAGAGACAACGTCTAGGAATATAGTCCAGACTGACAAACTTCTTGCCTCAGCCTCCCAAATGCAGAGATTACAGGTATGCTCCACCACGCCCAACCTGACTTAGTGATGTGATGATATGATATGCCTCTTACCCAGAGTTGAGACATTTTTAAACAATAAAGAAAACAAAAATGATAAAGCAAATAGCACACTGATGTGAAATACTTTTGAACACAGAGGTCATGTAGTTTGATTTGCTGTTGTACCCTTTGAAAAACTCCTAGAATGTAAAAGTGTTCCTTCCCTCAAACATCTTACAATCATAAAATACTTTTAAACGGGGAAAACAAATGTAGTCTAAGAAAATATCTCTGAGACAGGCATGGTAGCTCATACGGGTAATGTCAGCAATCCAAACTCAACATTGTGTCAAGTTTGAGGCCAGCCTCAGCTAACAGAGATCTTGTCTCAAAAAGAAAAAAATACTGGCTCAGATAGAACATATACTAAAATTGGAACAGAGATTAGTATGAACCCTAGGCAAGGATAATAAAAATTTGTTATGTGTTCCATAGAAATTTTTTTTGGTCTTTGTGAGACAGGGTCTCCCTGAAGCCCCAGCTGTCCTAGAACTCACTATGTAGACCAGGCTGGCCTTGAATTCAGAGATCTGCCTGCCTCTGCCTCCCGAGTAGTGGGACTAAAGGTGTGTGCCACCAAGCCCAGCTAATTTTTTTTCCTGAGGTAGTTATTTTCCTCTAAGGATTTTTGTTTTGTTTTCTTTCTAAAACAATTTTCCTTTCAAACATAAATGACAAAGTCTTCAATCACTTTAGAAAATCCCTTCAGGCTGTGATACAGGCTATATTCACAGAAAAATAAAGCCAAAGTAGTATTACTTCAAGTAAAGAAATGAGAAAAGTGCTAGATATGGAGGCACACACCTGTAAATCTTAGCACTCAGGAGTCTGAAGTAGGAAAATCAAGAGTTCATGCCAACCTGGACTACATAGCAAGACCATCTCAGAAAAAAAAGTTGTCCAGTGGGTACTGTACTCCCAGATGCTCAGGAAATGAGGGGGGGATTCCTTAAGTCTAGGATGTAGAGACTAGCTTCACCAATATAGTGAGACCCCATCTCACAGAAAAGGTGGTGTGAGATAGCTTATGTAGTCACTTTAATATAGTTTTAAAAATGTTAACCATTGCTTAAATACTTTCCAAAGGCCTCCACTTAATGCTAGGCTTGATAAGAAAGAGATCTCTACATCATCACACAACCATGAACAGCATATTCAAGACGCAACAACCTAATGTCAGCATACTTGTTAGTTTTGCCATTATTACCACTGAATACAGTTGTTAAGCATGAAAGAAAAGTGTCCGGGGGGGGGGCTGAAGAGATGATGGCTCAGCAGTTAAGAGCACTGGCTGCTCTTTCAGAGGTCCTGGGTTCCAGTTCCCAGCACCCACTTGGCAGCTAACAACCGTCCTAACTGCAGTTCCAGGGAATCCAATACCCTCTTCTGACCTCCTTGGGCATTACATGACATAGGTGCACTTACATACATGCAGGCAATACACTCATTCACATAAATAAATATAAGTTTTCCAAAGAGGAAAAAGAAAAAAAGATGTTTCCTCAATTTAAAATACCACCCAAATTACTGGGTATTGATGGTGTCAAAGAGCCCTTTATGATACTTGACATATATAGAGAAACTTCAGCAGCCAAGTTCTATTGCTTGGATTAGATATACTTTTATTAAAGTATAATGATTATAGTATTGATGATTGCACAAATGGAATCAACTATGTTTTTTTATTTTCAAAATGAGAGAAAGTAGCAGGGGGTATAGCTCAATGGCTGCGCACTTCGCTCTCATGTGCTAGGTCCTAGATCTGATACCCAGCACTGTGATCAAAATGAAAAGAATAACATAGGTGGATCTCTGTAAGATCAAGGCCAGCTGGGGCTACAGGGAGACCCTGTCTCAAAAAAAGGCAAAAAAAAAGAGTAGCATGATACTGTCATTCAAAACTACATGGTTTCTGAAAGTACAGTAGGACCCTGAGCACACCTAAGACTATGAAGATAATTTGGAGAGCAAGCCTTGGGTAGTTAAGCACCAGACACTTTGTGCTTAAAGCCTAACTTGCCTTGATACTTTGGATGGTTGCTTTATAATAATGCTAGTGACTCCAGACCCTTGGACATTGACTCTCTGCCTTCTGAGTGAGACCAAGTGTAGAATCTTGGAGAAAGGGAGTAAGGAGGATACAATAGTTACCGTTGCAGAACTCAAACGAGGAGGCTGTATAGAAGCACAAAAACATTCATGAAAGTCTGACACGGTGGTGCAGGTTTGTCATCCCAAGCAATGGGGAGGCTGAGGCAGGAGGATAGTGAATTAGAGGCCAGCCCCAGATAGATAACTAGACCCTGTCTCAAAGAACTAACAGACAAAAAAATAGTTTTAAAGTGCTTTCATTTTCTCAGCTAAATAAACAAACAATAAAAGGAAAATTTATCTAGGGAGATTGAGAGCCGAATATCTCAAAAACCTGTGCTATAAATATAAAATGGCTGATTTCAAAGCAACCAGAAGAATTTTGATGATGTGCTAAAATTTATTTGTTCTTTCAGAGCTGTTAATGTATGTCAGATAGTTAAAAACATCCACTCAAGGTTTTGAAGGTGTGTTGTTAATAACAATCACTGACATATTTATAGGTACTTAAGTCAGAAGCCATGCAAGGCCTTTCAATCATTTCTTCCAGAGAAAGATAAACCAAAAAGAAGCTGTGGCTTTCCACTTCACATCAGTCACTGATGGGACTCCAAATAGAAGATGATACATTATTGGCTTATAAAGAAATATGGACTTTCTTGAGTAAAGTTGTAATGATGCATATATTTTATATCCCAAAGTTAAAAAAATTACTCTCCCCTAGAAAAGCTGTATTTTTAATCTGAGCATGCCCTATAAAAATTAACTGCTTATCTGATACTTAAAACTTAAATTGTACTTAACATGAGCAAGTTGTATCTTCCATAAGAGTTCTGTTGGCTATAATTAATGCCAAGTAAGAACTGGTAAGCCTTTAAGCTGTGCACCTTCCCCAAGGAAAATAATTTTAAAATAAACAATGACTGACAACTAGGTGATTTTTCAAGCAATATTTTGCATATGAATCATTAGCTGACTAAGACATTGTTTAATTCCTGAAACTCGTCAATGGCCAAATTCTACCTCATAGATTATAAAGCACAGGACACAGCGACCCAACTAGCCTCACTGAAGAGAGAAAGATCAATAGAGAAGCCTAGAAACAAGCAGCAGCAGCAGCAGACAGCAAGTACCCCTGGTGCTGAGATTTCAGCCTCCATGAATTGTCACTGAAGAAACCAGGGCTCCTGAGAAAAATGACTGGTTCCTAGGCTGGCACAGGAAAGCACATGTTGAGCCAATAACATCTTATACCAGGAAGCAAGAAAAGAAAAGTGCCCAAGCTAACTAAGGGTATGTGGAAAGGTCCCAGGGGCCAGTTCAAAGATTCCAGCTGGCTAAATTTCAGAAAATTTGAACATCAAAAGAATAATAACTTATACGGATTGAAATACACTGGATATGTTTATGGATCTATGAGGCCTTACAAATGATCAACTAGTGGCAAAGTTGCACAACTTTGTAACAAACTATAGAAACTAGTGTAGCAGGGCATGGTGGTGCATGCCTTTAGTCCCAGCACTCGGGACGCAGAGGCAGGCAGACCTCTGTGAGTTCTGGGCCAGCTGGGGAGACCCTATCTCAAAAAAGACCGCCCCCTGCAAAGAAAGAAAGAGAGAGAGAGAGAGAGAGAGAGAGAGAAAGAAAGAAAGAAAGAAAGAAAGAAAGAAAGAAAGAAAGAAAGAAAAAGAGAAAGAAAGAAAGAAAGAAAGAAAGAAAGAAAGAAAAAAAGAAAGACAAAGAAATTAGTGAAATGTATAAATGCATGTACACTTCAAGATGGTGAGGTTTTGGGATTTTTGTTTTGTTTTGTTTTTCACTCGTGGGGCTCAAACACAGACCCTTGGACATCCTGGGCAAGCCCTCTACCATGGAGCTACATTCCCAGCCCTCAGTTTTTCA